GAGTAGCCGAAGGCGAGGAGTCTCGACTAGCAAATCAATGGTCGTGGGTTCGAATCTCAAGTGCGGTAGAGTTTTTAATAAAAGGCGATAGCCTTAGATGCTAGTGCTTTTAAGAGTTTATTCTTAGAATTTATTTCCCTGGCGAAATTAATAATTAATAATAATAATAATATATATAAGAAAATCAACTGTAGTTACTGTTACTGATATCATAAACAAAACCGCCATCGCTATCTCCTCTTCACCTTTTCTCCAGGTTTTTCTTTATTATTTATTTCTTACGTATTAGCGCACCATATTGTTATTAAATAAGAAAAATAATGGAAAGTATTAACATTATAAATGATATAAAAGAAACATTATAATACACATACCATTTTAAATTTATATGTCATAATTTTTCGTTTCTGAATGTTCAGTAGGTTCTCCCTTTGTTTATTATTCAATACTCTTTTAGGAATGGTTTTGTTAATGTAAACAAAAAAAAATGAATTAAATTTGCCTTTTCTTAAAGAAAAGTGCATTGGACGGGCCGTCATGACCGAACTTGTCCCATATAAAATCATGGACCGGTGAAGACCATAGGACATAAATTAGACCGAGGCATAAGATTAACCCGCCTGGTAAGTAAGTTTCATCCGTCCGTTTGTTCTCATATGGGATATTTCTTCGGTGTAACCGTTTGTGATGCGTCTATGGGATTCAATTTGAAGTCTGCATATCTCCCGAACTAGTTACCTTATCAAAGACATGTGCGATTTGGGTTTGTTATATAAAAACGGCGTCTAACGCGAGACCCCGAAAGAAAGTAAAGCAATGGTTCAATCAGATACGCTCGTTAGAATATATTAAATATAAATATCTAGTAAACGAAAGGGTTAGCAACAGCAATCTATATAAGTATATAAGTATAGGTCTTACCAAGGACATATACACGTACATATATGTCGTCGAACTCTCCAGAGTTTAATAAAGTCAGTTAAAGCTGACCCAGCTTTATTTATTGGGATTGCAGATGAAAGTGTAATCTTTGGACAAATAACATCTCTAAATCGGTGAAACATTCCGTGACAAATGAATTCTTCCTTGAGAACAAGAATTTCTTGCATTTTTTGTGTTTAATGTCAAAAATTATATAAGTACAATGTAACCTAACTATTTAGATCACATTGAAGAAGATCTTGAAGTAAAGGGAGTCGAACATCATCAAAGTGCATTAAGGCATAAGGTAGCACCAAAGGGAGATGATTGATGTACAAGAGAAATAACAAGGGTCTCAATCGGTTACCTTGAGAGACACCTGATATCACGTGGTATTCATCAGAAGTAATCGTGTTGAAAACAAGTCTCAATGACATTATGAAGACAAGAGTTTATCCATTTCAACAAGTACGAAGCGAAACCGGAAGACAAAAGTTTAAAAATCAGCAAGGTGTAATTAACGTAGTCGCAATGCTTTACTAAAGTCTTTATATACAACATCGGTTTGTGAGCCACAAAAAAAGTTTGCAACAAGTCTCCCTTTTAGAACGCCGTGCCAAAATGGAGAACTAGAAGATATGGTAGTGAAAGCTAATTGTTGAGTGTCGATTCTTTCAAGCAGTTTAGGTAAAATACATAGCTTGGCAAGGCCTCCATAGTTCTCCAAACGATATCTCCCTCCACACTTAGAAAGTGAATACGGAAGCTACTTTTCCAATACGAAGAGGGAACACCTGTTTTCAGAGAAGGATTAAAAATATTTGTCATGTTCATAAAAGCATGATTTGAGTATAAATTTTATTGATTTTAAAACCTATTATTTTCAGAAATGACCAAATTCGGAATGAAAATAAAATTTATTCTTTACTATCAGTTCAACAGGAGCCAGCGGCACGAAAATTTCGTTGGAAGTATTCGCCAAATAGCGTCAAGGGACATATATAGATTCTTCTTCGAATAGTTTAAAAATTTATTAAAACACTTGGCATTAACAAGAAGTAAAGATATTATTATTAGTAGTTATGTGCAATAAGTTTGGGAGTTCGGGTAATTAAATGTATGGCCAGAAGCACCGGGCCGTTGGAATGGCCTTACATAAGAACACTTTCTATATATGTTTTCGTTCTTTCGTTCTTTTACAGCGGTTAACTGTTTTGTTGGAACACCGTAGGCAAGTGGTTCCAAAGAAAGGTTGTAAAATAAAAACGAATGCGGAAATTGCTAGGTTTAACATCATAATTACGGTAGTAGTACGCGGTGATTAGGGTTTCAATATTCACAACAAAAAAATTAAGGCGTTATGCACCAAGGACGCGTTTTAAACAATAAAATATTGGCTTTGTTAAATTATGTGTATGTGAGCAAGTTGCAAGTGAGAAATTTAACATGCTGAAATGATTCAACAACCCATATTGTTTGCTATGAAAAGATAAACAAAGTGCTGAGTGAGACAGATCCTCAAGTAAATAATGAACTATAACTAAAGGAAAATTGACGAAGTAAAGAGTCCGCCGTTAACGCACTGGCTGGATCAGATGTTGAAGTGGGAACTATACAAGTTGAATGTATAGTTACTTAGAATTAATTCGATTTTTAGTAGTTTAACTCTAAAATATAGCGAACAATTTATCCTACAGTTGACTTTCGTCGTTGTTACGTATGCTGCTTTATAATAACCATAGTATTAGCCTTTATTGTTAAATATTGTTTAACTTAGCCGAACCAGTTGAAGTTGGATTCTGCTTAGATAATCAAATACTAAAAAAGAAAACAATTCAACCCGATCATAAAAATACATACCTGGTTTTAATTTCCATATTTTAAGCACACAATTGTTTCTTGAATTTATTAAAAGGCAAAATAGAAAAAAGTGTATAGATATTTGAAATATAAATTATTTGAATAAAAGCTTTCAGGTATATATTCATTGAAGCGCAAATTTATTTTTAATAACAAAGGAAAAACGACATTATTTCAGAAAACAAAAGCAAATTTTATTTAATCTCACAAATGCTGCAATCAAGACAACTACCATTTGAACAATCTCACCATATTCTTGGTTTCAGCTATATGGAAGCTTATATTTTTTAGTAGTTTTTGTCAATATTTTCAAAGTTACATGAAATTTTTATTTTTTCAGCTGTTTAAACCTTGTTTACTTTCCAGTCAGAACATTTTATTCGTATCATTACTGGTTATGCCGCCCTGAACAAGTGGCAATCACAAGGTGCTACGACTGGTGAGTACGCTGGATGCGGCAGGACTTCTCATTTCTTCACATCAAATAGGAAAAGTGACGAATGTCGAAGATGCAATTTTGAGTGTTCCATGATTAGCGTCTGTGTGCACTGAATAACTCAATAGCCCAAAATGGAAAACCGTCATTTTATATAGAGAAAGATCAAAATCATCGAATTTAACCGTCATTTTCACCAATAGAAGTCAAGGGCGATCAATCACAGTCTTGGACAATTCTGTGTACCAACTTATTAAATATATGGAGGCACGAGTGAATGTAAATAATTTTTTTTATTTACGCATATAAGAATCTTATGGTTGTTCAGGGATTACTATAAGAGACCGCCTAATATAGTCATTTACTCATTTCCTTAATAATGCACCAAAAATTATACACTATTTTTATATAAATGCACAACTTTCATTTGGAGGATATTCAAACGTTAACGTGGTGCAAACGGGAGAAACTTAATTTATTTTCCAGTTGCTGCCGTAATAACAAATCACAAAGTAGACTTTGTTGCCATAAAAGGATTTGCTTTCATGAGAGACCTTATTTATAGTGTGGTCTTAAACTCTGTATGGTTAATTTATTAACGACAAATTTTCATCATTAAATAATAAAAATTTGACATGTAAAATCTCATATTTCATTAGAGTTCTTATATGGGTTAGCATTCAAGAAATACATCTACGTTTTCCAAATTGGGTAAAATTAACTTTAATTCCAAATTATTACTATGGTCGAATTCTCTTTAAGAAGTATTGAAAATCTTTTTATTATATAAAGAGTTCGTTTCTACAAGAACTTTGGTATCGCAAGTGGTCCAAAAAACTACGCCGATCCAAGGGACACCGAAACACTACTAAGCGATTTTTTTCATGAAGTTGTGAAAATTACACCTTTTTTTTCCTATAACGACTTATCAAAATATGGGAGTGATCGAAAAAGTGGTTCGACTCGAACCATTTCCATTAACTTTTACCTTTGAGCCAAAACACATCGATCTACCAAATTTCATGAAATTATCTCGAAAATAACGCCCTATGGATTCAACGCAAGTATACATAAAGGGCCATTAGAACAGACAAGGTTACATCAATTCAGAAAATAATCCCGAATCGGTCGGCATAATAAAAAGTGGATGCGATTTTGCAACTTATTATCGTTTTCCTTTGCTTTTTCTACTCACATAACTTACGCCTAAACAAATTGATTAGGAACAACGGTAACAAATTGTAAGCAAAATATCTCACAAACAAATGATAGCAAGAGAAAATAAATTGAAGTTTTTATCAAAAAAAAAAAAATAGTCAGCGGAACAAACGCGGTTGCTATGACGATCGAGTTGAGATGCTTTTAGGTTTTTGTTGTGCTTTACGCTCGTTTTCAGATTTACATACTGAGGAAGTACTCTGAAGGGAATCTGATCAAATTTTCTATTTCGTACATATGGCAAAATATACTATACTAAACCTAGTCTTCAACATTCAGAAGTATTCAGCAATAGGTTATTTCTATTTTAGAACTTCTATCTCTTATTTCAGGTCGGGAATCGCGTACATAAAGGGCATTTTCGAAATTTTCAAAGCAATGTATTCATTAGACGTCAGTACGTTTCCATATATCTCTGAAATATTTTTTTTCCGCGTATACATATGTTTATAGCACTTCAAATGAAATTGCAAAGCTTGTGTAAAATGGAAAAAAATGTTTTTACATGCTGGTTATCAAAGTTGTTCCATAACAGAAAGAACAAATTGTGTTGCCATTGGCCAAGTTAAGAAAAATATAAATTTTATTTCGGTAGCTTTCCCTAATTCCTTATTAAAAGCAGTATAAGGTAAAATGTTCAATGCAAAATTCGAAAAAAATTTAAAAATACATTTAGTATCTATAATGGTCTGGTTTAAACGGCCCATTTTGTGGTATTCCCAAATATTTTGATTGCTTTTCAGTCAACTTGGTGAGCTTTACATCCAATTTCTCCAAATGCAATTGGGCAACTTCTTCATCCAATATTTTAGGCAACATATGAACACCGATTGCATATTGACCCACTTTAGTGAAAAGTTCGATTTGCGCCATTACTTGATTTGTGAAAGAATTGGACATCACAAAACTGGAATGACCATGAGCGCAACCCAAATTGACCAGACGACCTTCAGCCAACACAATTATATGACGCGCATTAGGTAGGGTATAACGATCAACCTGCGGCTTAATGTTTACCTTTTCAATGGCATTAACGTTTAACCAATTTACATCGATCTCGCAATCGAAGTGGCCTATATTGCAAACAACAGCATCGTCCTTCATGTTTTTGAAGTGCTCGCCGGTAATAACATCGACACAGCCAGTGGCGGTAACGAAAATAGTGCCTTCTTTGCTAGCTTCTTCCATAGTCGTTACTTCATAGCCTTCCATGGCTGCCTGCAAAGCATTGATTGGATCGATTTCTGTTATAACAACGCGTCCACCAAAACCTTTTAGCGCTTGAGCACAGCCTTTGCCCACGTCCCCATAGCCGGCGACCACACATACCTTGCCAGCAATCATAACGTCTGTAGCGCGTTTAATGCCATCGATTAAAGATTCCCGGCAACCATATAAATTATCGAATTTGCTCTAAAGTAATGGCAAAAACATCTGTTAAAGTTGATCTATTATATGGGTTTTCAAGCTATTAGGACCCGCCTGTGTGCATTCAAAACATACCTTAGTTACGGAATCATTGACATTAATAGCAGGCACAGCTAACTTCCCTTCTCTAAACATTCTATACAGATTGTGAACACCCGTCGTAGTCTCTTCAGATATGCCCTTGATTCCAGGCAAGTACTGTGGAAATTTTTCATGAACCAAATTTGTTAAATCGCCGCCGTCATCCAATATCATATTTAATGGTTTGCCATCCCGGAAAAGTATGGTCTGTTCAATGCACCAGTTATATTCTTCCTCCGTTTCGCCTTTCCAGGCGTAGACGGGAACTCCGCCAGCTGCAATTGCAGCTGCAGCATGATCCTGAGTACTAAATATATTGCAACTGGACCACTGAACCTTTACAGAAGCAAGAAAAGAGCAATTTGCGTAACATTGAAAACTTAATACTATTCAATAACGTTTGACCTCTTTCATAAGATTATCATCTTGTTTACTTCAATAAAAAAAAAAAAAAAAATCGTCATTAGCATTGGCTGCAATCACAGATAAGTGAATAAACGTGTAAAGACTAAATTCTTAACAATATATATTTATGCCGGGATAGAGTATATGGTCGGTTTTTCATTTATTAGTTGCAGTACTTACCTCAGCACCTAACTCAACTAATGTCTCGATAAGGACAGCAGTTTGTACAGTCATATGTAAGCAACCAGCTATCCTAGCTCCACTCAAAACTTTTAAAGGACCATATTTCTTACGACAAGCCATTAAACCAGGCATTTCATTTTCCGCAATAAGAATAGCCTTCCGTCCCCAATCAGCCAATTTGATATCAGCTGTTATAATGTAAAAAATAAAAACGTGCTTTTTCTCCCAATACTACACAAAGCGAAAAAAATCATTGAATTCTTACCAACTTTATATGAAGCTTTAGACATTATCGCTTTTATTTTTATTTAATTATGTTGAAGACCAATTGCTTATTAAATATAATTCATAAAATAAAAGTGTGAGTTTATAAGTAGACCCAAATTGATGCGGAGCGGTTCAAGCTAATGATCTAACTGATGGCCAGCCGCGATATACCAAAATTTATTAAACGAAATTCTATTATTTATAAATGTCAAAATTACAGCGAATTCATAAGACTGGGTTGCCAATGCTTATTTCCAACTTTATATTACGATTATCCATGGGGCGACCTTATATTTCCAGGTCTGGGCAAACACAATTAAAAAATTTTTAAAATTTGAGATGCGGCCACATTGTGCCACAGCTCTGTCGATTGCAATACGATTATCTATAAACTATTTGCATGTAAAATAAGATTTTGTTCACCTCCAGAATTTTGCTGCGTTAATATTTATATTTCTTAGCTCAAGATAAAGGGCCATTTATGATGTGAGTAGGGTAGCGATTAGGAAGGATGATGTGTGACGGAGGTAGAAAAGAAGGAATAGAGTTTGGTATGTAGTTAAGGTTACACTGAAGTATTCCTTGTACTCGTTTGTACGAGTTTCGATAATTTGAGTACATGTTTTATCCAAAACACATCACCCTATGTGCTCGTTCCCAGAATAATAAGCGGTAGCATTGCTCTGACCCACGGGTCTAAAATTTTACCATAGTTATATAACACTATTCGGGAAATTTCATCCACAATCAAGCATTTATTTGGTAGTTCTGTTTTACGAAATTCTTTCTTTTTTTTTTGAAAGGGAATGAGCGGCACAAAGTTCTGCCGTCGCCCGTTAACGAACACCTGCAGGGGGATCACGTGTCTAATAGTTAATTTTTGTTCACGACCAAGCCAACTTACCTGTTAATTTTCGCGTATAAAACATTCGTGTCAATTTTATTGCTATGATGCATAGGTAAAAAAAGCAGAAATGTTTCTGTTTATATTTTATTTTTTTTTATTTATTTTTATTTTTTTGTTATTTTGAATGAAGATGGGCTAAGCCAGTTGAGCTATATTTTATTATGGCTGTTAAAATTCGAATAGTAACAGGTGGTTGTCCACTCTGATAAATAAACCAACAAACCAGCTATTAATGAAACAGTGGACGAATATTTAACGAAAAAATTGATAAAAAAAAAAGAGAAAAATTAAAAAGAAAAAGACGAAATCTATCAATTAATTATAAGAAAAAAAGTATTTTTATGGAGCATTTTTTAAATTTGCGAAGCTAACAATCGTATTATTCCCTAAAACAATACATCTACGGTTTTCAACGTGCGCGTTAATTTAGTTCCGCCGCAATGATGATAAGGATTCTTCTAGCGAATTATTAATATTAATTATTTATGTGTCGGCGGCCGTATTTAAAAATTTGTGAACTGGAAATCTTCAATCAAATGATGATCTGGATAAAAACGAGAATTTGGCCGAAGGGGCAGAAAAGCTTTTAAATGTAAGTTTCTTGACAACGCCTTTAACTGCAAGTTTGTTGATATCAACCGCCTTCTTTTGAATTAAACGATTTTTTATGTTCTAGCTTAATAGGCAGAATTTTTAACCTTCACTTAAGCCGCTATTGTTTTTAGTCTAGCTAATTATGAGAGAATAATCGGTAAACAAACATAAACGTACATTAAAATATTACAAATTTATTGGTATCATTAATTAATGACAACCAACACGTTGCAATAGAAGCATATAAGCACTATATTTTATGAATGGGCGTCATAAAACAAAGATGCAGTATGGACATGGGAATGATAAAAACTTGCTTAAGATATAAGTTATAAAGTGCAGCAACTACAGCTTTGCCCAGGGGCGTGAAAAGCTAAACGAACTGTTGATGATATAAGTTCTAAATTAAATTTAATAGATTTCCCCAACAACTTAGTTAAATCCTTCATGTTTCTGCTCTAATTGGATCGAAAAGAAGATCATTTTAATGCTTTATGTTAGCAAACTTTGAATTTTAGGTTTTATATTTTTTTATGTGTCTATTATTTATACATTTAATGTATACATGTACTTATTTCTGTTATGAAATGTATTAATGAAATGAATATTAACGAAATAGAAATAAAAAAAAAATTTATAGTGAAATTGTTGACACTAATTCATTTCTTTTTTGTCTTACACGCTTTTAAGTAGGGTAAGTAGGTTGGAAACACACCACAAAGCTCTCCATAACAATTCGTCGTTGTGATGTTTAATCCTCTTCCATAAAATGATGTGTCGGGGCATACTACCTAATATTTTAGGTAAACAATGTATTGCTTACTTTTCACAAACGCAAATTTCCTTTTATTTATTTATTTTTTTTTTTTCTTCAGATTAAATGAATTAAACTAATAAAGAATATAGCTCCTTCTGTTTAGCAATTTTTGTTTTTATGGCTAATTCAAACTTTTTTCGTCAATAGATTTTGCTTTTGTTTGTTAATTTTTTTTTTGGCTCAGATGTTTGCAAGTAAACAATTTTGTTTGGAATTTATTTTAACTTCCAACAAACAACACTAACTCAGAACAACCAATAGCAATGCCAAATGTGAGCCGGTTTGCTTTCGCATAATTCGATAAGAATGAGAGAGTGTATTTAACAGCCATTGCACCTAAGTGATCCCAAAAAATCGATATTATCAACCAAAGAATTAAATTAAATAGCCTCTAAGTGTTGCATTACTCAAAACGGATAGCACCAATTTAATGTAACGACAATATCCGGTAGCGAATAGAAAAGTATGTTTTATTCAAAAAATAACGACTGTTTTTTTGTAGAGATGATGGTTCAGTTAGATTAAGCTGGAATAATTTTATATACCCATCGTGAAAACCTGAATTCAAAATTAAACAAGATCGCGAAATGCTTTCGAAGAAAGAAAAATATGTTAAGAAACTTGCTTAAAGACAATTCCAAACGTTTGATTTTATTTATGTATATATAATAAAAATTATTGCATATGTTCATAAAAACTATTATACTTTAAAGTGCACTTGTTCGTATAATTTTCTTTCCTTTTAAGCAAAAAGAAAAATTATAAACTCTTATTATAAAAAAAAAAACCATTAACATAATAATATTAAAGGTGATAATGTTCATATGAAAAAAGAACAATTCAACAAAAAATTATATTACTTCCAATAGCCCCTATACAACAACAAAAAAATCTTTTCCTTTCAAAGAATAATTAAATCATAATTTTGACTTTGGTTTGGCGTTACGCGCAAAATAAATTTCTGGAATTTTTTCTGATTTTTGAATTTCGCGATAATTGCTAACAATTTTTTTGGTTTCGTCTTTCGGACAGGATTGCAAATTGCGAAAGACGTTTACCTAAATGAATAAAAATAGATCAAAGTTAAAATAAATATTGTAATGTAATAAATAAGATATATGTTCATGTACCTGTCCTCGAGAGACATAAATTGGAGTACGATATATTATCCAAGTAACAGTTTCAAAATAGGGAGCCGTGGTTAGGGATCCTTTATAAGTGTAGTAATGTTTGCTTAGTTCTTGTAATCCTATCCAAGACAAACAATCTTCGAAAAATCAAAAGAAATATGGATAACGCAAGAAAAGTATTTTTCAATTGAAATTTCTTTACCCGAGTCCAGTGAGGCACTGGTGTGAATTCTTTGTACTATTCGTATACCTTCAGAGATTTTCCTAAATTCGGGACAATCTTTTTCACCGCAAGCCTGTATAAAAAAGGCCACCACAGCCAGACCATCCGGCTTACTTTTGGCTTCTGTAAAATTATTATATTTGGCATTATAGTGTACAGCGTGAGCTTCCATTGAGTATTTGTTGCCTTCCAGCGTATGTTCGCATCCTGAATCGTCAGTGTCTGCCCAGTGAAAATGCAATTGTTCGAATATAAATCTCGCTTGGCCGAGACAGCCGCCAACTATGTATGGCAGACATTTGCGTTTCCCAAATGTTACCACAGCTGAAGTGCCGGTATTTTGTACGCGGGCTATACCTACAGGTTCCCAATGACCATGGTATTCCAAAGGATCAATGTCATCGATATGTTCAATGATGCGATTACTTATTTCAATGGGTGATTGTACAGGCATAGTTTTATGTGTGCGTTTATATAATAAAATTAATAATAAAATGTTCTCTAAGTGAGATTAACAGGATTATAAGATTTTTTTTTAACGTTCAACACATACAGGTGTTGCTTGTTCTTCCACCAAATGAACAGCGTCGTGATGGCGACTTTTATGTCAAACGTTAACGGAAAAACTGAGTCCGAAATTCAACTAATAGGGCTGCGTGAGCAGACAAGAAGAATCTGTTAACAAAAAATAAAAAAGTTGAAATAATATTAAAATAACCAAAAACAATTATTTAATTATCCTCAATTAAAGAATAAACAATAAATCATGCATATGCTACTAATGACAACTGAATTTAATTAATTAGAAATTTACGTGAGAGATAGATGAAAAACCGTCTTTCAGTGATCGAGAGCTAATTTTTGAAATTCTTTCCCCCACGGTTCACACCCAGCATCCCAGAATAAAAATGCACTGGGATTATCATTGCGCTTATAACTCAGATATTCGTAGAAAATATGTAAATTCTTGGCCTGCATAAAGTTCTTAATCGATTTACCTCTTTGTACTCCTTCTTGAAAAACTCGTGGTTGAAAAAATTTAAATAAAAACTAATTCGTCTACAAGTAACTCCAAAATAAACAACAAGCTATCGGTTACAATTCATAGCAAAAAATGATGTGAAAGTAATTGCAAGGAATTATGTGAACTATGCACAACTTCAGTAAAAAATTATAAAAACTTAAATCCGCTTATAAGCTGTATTAGTCTGCAACCCGGTATATATATATCCTAGGGCTAGTTAAAAAAGGAGGACGGTGGAAAGAGTCGATTAGCTGATTTGAGCACATTTAATAAAAAAAAAGAAAAAAATGTGCAAGGTAATGGGGTTTTGAGATGGTGGGTTTAAAGTAAATAATATTGTAACTATGACGATGAATGATTGTATTGGTATTGATACCTTTTATCAATCAAGTGTGGGAATTGGAAACGTGGATGCAAAGGCAATTGGAAATGTGCAAGTCAATTATACCAAAGACAGCACTTTATAAATAAATGAATTATTTACAAAACCTATTTGTGTAACACAAACAAGTGTTTCGTATCGATCTTTGTACAATTGTCAAATTAACGGAAAGTTATAGAAATAAAATTATAAGGGCTTTTTCACGCTCGAAGAAAAACTTTTGAAAATTTATGACTTTAGCAAAGTATTCTTGAAGTGCTAAACCTTAACGAAAATAAAAACTTAAAAAGAATTATAAGTATTTTGAAATTGAAACAGATGAACACTGTCAGAGTTAAAAACGGCAAAAGACTATATTCAGTTTGCAGCATACCTTCGACACCTACCGCTCAGGCCTATAAAGTCATGGGTAAGAGAAATAGTTCAATATTCCCGTGAGGAACGCAATAAAAAGTCTGCCCTTTAATTCTTAATGTCGCCAAACTCAAGAGAAAATGTGAAAGCATCGAAATTTCGATAGTGTATTTATAACAAATTTTAGACCAATGTCGATTATAGGTTAAAAGCTATCAACAACAATTTTTTCAATTTCTTAGTGATTGTTGACATTGCCAAGACCATCAGTACGAGAATGGACGTGATCAAAGCGTAAAACAAGTCTTTTAAACCAGTTTTTTGTTTCTTTTGCAATAACTGACATACTTCGCAATTTGTATACCATGGATTCAGTCAACTGATAACGAAGATTTAACTCAGCGTTTTCTCGCTTGTCAAAGTTGATCTACGAATTTAAACTGAGGACATATATAAGAAGCTTCAGATGCCTTTGTGCATTGTCGATTTTGAAGTCGCATGAATGAATATAAAATTATGCTAATTAAAAATATTTAACATTTCACACAATCAGAATTCACTTATAAGTTTCATTCATAATCATATGCACAAGCGCGTACAGAGATTTGAGAGATCGTGTCATTTCTTAACGTGAGGGCTTCTTAAGATCATTATTCATATTAACATATAAGATCTATAGGACTTGACTTATTTGTTGTAAAGGGAAAGACAGAAATAATAAACCTCGAAACAATCCGATCTCTCAATTTGCTAAATACTTGACGAACTCTATTGAAGTCTTGATTGAGCTAGTATCAGTAATAACTCGACTGGACGAGATAAGCGAGAAACCTTTCGATGACCCAAAGCTACCCATCAACAGTTCACAAAGAGTTCGGGCACGCACCTTTTTTAATGGCATCCAATTAATATGCAGCGCTTCTAACATATAAAAAAATAAATGAGTGATTGTTAAAAACAAAAAAGAAAAACAACGAAACACAGTTTTTGTTTGCACTGCTGGGAACTTTATTAAATTTCTCCCTAAAAGTATTAGCAAAAGTTACAGATTTTATTCAACTTATAATACTTCATAATAGGAAATGTGTATGCGTAGAAATATTTCAGACAAAATTTGCTAGAAAACCATCCCGAACTATGCATAAGCTTGATGATATAACTTCGATGACGACCCGTTTTTCTATCAATAAAGAACGTTTTTTCTTATATTCACCTTAGATGGTGCATAACCACTATTGTTGCATTGTAAGTCAATATAAATAGAACAATCGGCTTCCTTTTCAATCTATAATTCACTGACATAGATGCATATTCGACTGCACCTCATATCCAGTCAAGCACTCATACAGGTTTTTTGTTTCGAGTTTCTTTATTTTTGTATTTATTTATTTTTTCTTTTTTAGGTTAGGAAATAATAATCGGCGATTAAAATAGTTCTTTTACACACATAGTAATTTCTTTTCTACACCTACTGTGAATAAGTTTTTTAAAATCGGTTTCATTTATCCCGAATAAAAAAATTTTTTGGCATCAGGAAAATCACCTTGGGCCAGGTGTTTGATTTTATAACTATTTAGCCTATGAGCTTTTATTTTTGAAGTTACATGTAAAACGATTATCTCTGTTGATGAGTATAAAAAGATAATCATTTTTCGGATTGATTTTTGTTGTTTTATTTACGGATTATCCGCGTTTTAGATTTTTATAAAATGTGATTTTAAAACTTTATTTGTAATGGAAGATTTATTAACAATTATGAACTGCCACTAAAATAGTTAAGTTTATTGTTTGACTTAATAACTGCTCAGTAGAATTTTGTTGCATTTTTTAAGAAATTTGAATTTTCATCTGTTCTTTGTATCAATTTACTAAATGCTAAGCAATTTCACATTTTCAAAGTGTTTCACGTTCAAATGTTTGCTAAGTAAATAAATAATTTTGTTTTATTTCGCTTTAACTTGAAACCATGTCTCTTTGTAAAGTACATATGTATATGCCAAATTCTTTTTTAATTCGGACAAAGCTACCATACATTATGAGGAGACGTTTCAACGTACTTCATTCACGCGAGACAAAGTAGAACTATTTACGTTTTGTGACTGATAGCATACATAAAAAAAATTATAAGTTCGGTCTTGAGTTTACTAATCTCAATACTCGCAACGCAGCCATTTTATCGTGAAAGAATTGCGTGACAATTCGATGATCTAATTGGTCAATGGAAAAAGTATTACTATATTTTTGCGGGACCATCGCAAAGTAAAAAAATCTTGAACCCATAAATCGCAAATGTCCTCCATTTAATTTCTAGATGGGTTTTATATAATATGTGTAAAATTAAAAAGAGGCTATTTTCTTCAAATTTGAATTTCAACTTCAGCAAACTTAGACAGTTCGTAGCAGATATCGGCAAATATTATTATTAAATGGCTGTAGCAATTCACACTGATTGGAAATGTATGTACCCCCATGAGGGCATTTATAATAAATAATTCTGTGTTTTGTAAAATTTTCACAAAATTAGTATATTTGCGTCTATTAACGCCATCAGCTTTCGTTGATGACACTCACGAAAACCGCAGAACACGATGGACTTGAATAAGTTACGTCAATCCAGCTATGTTTAGCAAAATAAACATTTCCAATACATTTCTAAGTCACTGTAGTGGATGCGGTTGGAAAATAATGGGGATTTATATCCACCGATGAAGAATAATCAACTAGATTTGCCATTCCAAGACATCCAAACGCGTACCAGATACTTGCTAGAACTGTACTTATTTTGATCAGCCTGAACTCTAAAATCGAAAAAATCTAAAACCATGCAAATCTGTTTGTACATCTAGTTGTCTTCTTCTGGTACAAATCATACCCGCAAAAATGGAGAAATTAAAAGTTTGGCACAAATTATTGGAAACTCTGATAAAAAGTTTAGAAATGTACGTAGAGATTAGTTATTTTAATACACCAAGTTTTTTTGAAAGTAGGCATAACACGACTAATAAACCTAAGCTAAATGGATAATACATTGGAAGGTTCTTATGAAAATAAGAAAATTTGACAAATATTTTAAAGTGAACAAGTTACCGGTTTGTTGATCGGCACCAACATGAAGTGGGGCATGAATATCAGTGAGGCGTGACAGTTTCCTGTACTACTCAGAAACATTTATAATCACCGAAAAGTTATTATGGACGATGGACATCGATAACTTGCCGCTCACTTATCTTGCCATATGTAAAAGTTGCGAAAAGTTAATCGGTAGAATATTTCTTATTTAACCGGTTTGAAATAAAATTAACCATACTTTCATTCATAATCTGACAACCGTACATATCGGTTATAGTTATTCAGTGTCTTGGCTGTCGATGATAAATTGATTAGGTTTTCAATTATTAGATGAATCAATAGTGCCGTGAAGAATCAACCACGAGAATTTTTCTTATTTCACCGAACATTGATTTACCTCCAAGCATTAAAGCATGTTGTAGTAGTACCGGATAAAATAAGACCTTCAATAGACTGTGTTTAATTAAATAAAATATATAGCATATGCCGGTGAATCCCTGCTGTAGAAACAAAGTAAAAAAAGCAAGGAATATTTATTCACTTCTCTGACTCAATTACAATAACTGTTAAGAATGTGAAAATTTAAATGTTAACGATATAAGAATTACTTGAGAAAGGTGTGGTGGAAGGCATTACGATCGTATATTATTTACTATTTTGTTCGTTTTTTTTTTGTTCTTTAATATATATTTTTTGTTTTTTTCTTCTCTTTTGGCGTTGCTTTTTCTTAATCCATGAATTCATCCCCTGCACAATTTTCCTCACAAACACTTGACTCAGGCATATTGCAAGCACCTATTGGATTGTATTGATTTAGATTTACGACACGAGAACGACTAATAGATTGCACGGGTCGTGCATTGCGTACGATGCGTGTTTTACCATCAGAGCACAATATTTGACGGAATTCATAAAGTTGACGTTCACTTATAGCTAATGGTTCAGGGAATATAAACCATTCGGCCCCTTGATAGCAAGGTGGTTCAGTTAAGGAACCACCATAGCTATAAAATCCAGTACGAAATTGATGACACAAATAAGTAAGAGGAAAGGGTTGAATTTCAATTTTTGCGCCAGGTCTTTGTATGCGATGCAAATGCTGAATAACTGGATCCAAATAAAGATTACTAGCGGAGATCTGAAAGATGAATTCTTATGCTTAAAGGATATGAAAGTTTACAAAAAAATGTAAGGCCAACCTCAAAAAAATAGGCAACAATTAATATATCATAACTTGAGGTACAATCACCCGACGGACCGGTACGATGCATGGCTTGTAATTCTAATGGAAATTTGCGATAGTTGACCATGTGCTCTGAACCTTCACTATTAAGTGCGCTCCAACGAAAACATAGTTCTACAAAAGTATAGCTGGCTAATAAATCCGCGCCGTTTAAAGTGGGTGTATTGCCCGAAAAGCAGGCACGCAAAACAACTGATATTAAAAAAAAAAAAATTGAAACTCAATTAATTGGTATACAAACAGAAGCGTACCAGTGTGCCCATTATTTTCAATTATTACAGCAGCCGGCAAATCATCATAATGATTCCAGGTTAGTAACTCACGTATGGGAAATTTTTGTACATATTCATCAATTATATTTATGGGAGACTGATTTGATTCCGAGCAACGCCAAGTGTGAGGACCTTAAATTTCATGATTATCTAAACGATCATTAATTTTATTGATTTCATCGTTTAACAGTACTTACCCCTATCGGCACCATAGTCAAAGTTATTACCTAAGTTGCCAAGGCTATTACTACTACTGGGCCTTGGCGTTATATTGAAATTGTTTTTAGCCGCATTACCGAAATCACAAATCATTCGAGCCGTTTGAACATTTGATATGATTATGGCTGCTATAGTTAGACTCAACAGAAATACCACGATTGGATATTCCAAAGCGGTTGAGACAATATTATACAAACTGCTACCGAAAAAACTCATCAACGAACATAACGAACACTCGACCATTTTGACGTTTTTCAAATTCGGACAAAAACCAAAGATTAAATCAAACCGGTAAACTATTTTATTGTCTAACGAAATATATGTTTTCAATATTTAATAATTCTTGGCAAATATTAAAAAAAATTGGGAAATTTTCTAAGAGTTGATGTAATTCTTGCAGTAAAACTAAAAATCACAAAAATAAACGTTTTGATTTGAAATTTATGAAAATTTATTCAAAGTGATATTGGAAATTGATTCGCTCGAAAATTTACAAAAGAATCAAAGTTATTGATTTAAAAATAAATGAGTAACGGAATCAAAGGAATATATACTAATATACTATATAGAGATAAAGTTTTATAACTGCAATCGATGAATGAAAGCATTCAAGTTTGTGACTTCGTTTGTTATAGTCAATAATACACTACGGAAATACCATAGAATGTGTACAAAATATGCTTATCAATGAATGCCTGTCCGCCTGTTTTGCGAGTTTTTAGAAATAGGAAATGGCCAAAGAGATCTAAAAATTTATAGAAATATCATTAGATTAAGTCTACATTTAAAAAATGGTGCACGCTTGCGTTTCACTGTTCAATTTAAAAAAAAAAATTATCTTCCGCAAACATGAAGCTGGAATGTAAAATTAATATTGAATAGATTTGCAAATTGATTTGCTAACGCAATTTCATTTAAGAAAAAACAATAAAATATGATTAGTGTCAGGACTCGGCCACAAAAACGAATATAATTCTTTTACTTCTTTATAGGAAATAGACGAATGTGTGCAAATAATCTTATGAAAATGTTATGTTTTCGATTACGTTTAAAAAACAATTAATTAATGTAACAGTTCCTGTATATAACGTATCGCAACAATTAATTGAGATAAATAACACAATTCGTATAAATAACACGGTTCGTATGGCGTAATCAACACCAATCAAATACAAAATAATACCCATATCAAAATGGTTGCAGATGGTTTGTTAAATATAGAGCAAGTGATATGCAATAAATGTAGAAATCTCTTAAACTTATTATTATTTTCAATAATTATAAACTACATGAAATATTTTATTATATAGGCAATCTTATTTGGCTAACAAACAAACATAAGTCATGTTGTTGACCAATAAAATAACCTTGTCTTAAATACTATTAGTTATGAAATACTATTTTAACTAAAAAATAAATTTTTTTGTTAACTTAAATTTTTTTGATAATATTGTAAAAATTTTGAATCACATAAACGTTCAAACATTAAAAAAATAATCAATAAATTAAAATCCAAGTTCACGGTCAAGTTTGTGCAACAAATGTTAAAAAGAAAATACTAATTAGTTGTTGACATAATAGGAACTAAAATCACGCAATAATAACAAAATAATATAAGAACTAATGATTAATGCCTCGTTTCTTTCTTACATACTCACTTGTTGATTTCTTTGAAATTTCAAGTTATAGTTCACAGGCGTTTTTCAATTTATATTTGTTGAAAAACTTCAAAATTTCTGGGGTATTATCATCTATTTTATTTATACTTTTGCGTGTAATAAATAATCTATCAGTCACTTTCAATTATATTTTAATCTCATATCCTCCTTGCTTGCGCACACACCCACATACACACGCACATATTCAAGCATTAAAATTTTTTTTTATTTGCTGGCGTAGGAACACCTGATAGTGTTGACGCATCGACAAAAAATCATTTGACTTTAGGAATAAATATTTTTAAAAAGGCCAGCGAAGAAATTTCCCCAGCTATAAAATTAAGCAAATGGCGTTTTATTCCGTGTTGCAAGTTGAAAATTACTAAGAGTTAAATTAAAATAAATGTATTACTTGAAAAAAGAAATTTCATGTAAATAGAAACAAAAACTAATGGTTTGAGATAGAAAAATTAAGCAATAAACATGAATGCAAACAGTAAATAAATGAAAAACAACGGCAGGAAAAATTAATGCAAAAAAAAAATTAAAGTTTTGATTGATTATTCAGATAAGAAATAAAGAAAGTGAGTTAAAAAAAAAGAATCGCAGAGATACTTTACGTAGCCGAATACAGCAAAGGAATTGTTAAAATTTTTGATTTGAAAACTGTGGTACTGATTATGAATCTCTTAGTTAACTAGCTCTCATTTACACGGCGTGTTTTGAAAGCAATTTGATTTTGCATTACGTATAGCTTTCTTATTTAATAATTATTTCGTAAAAATAAAAGTAAAAGACAATTTTAACGTTTGTTCGTTTAGGCACAAACAATTTGGCATAATTAATAAAAAAAATCATGTGAACGTTAATAAAACAAAATTATATAACCTTTTTAACAAAATGTATGAATAAGCACTTTTAAAAAAAACAAAAAATTGCAATTAGCTGCATTGCTTTCAGAGTCGTTACCATAAAACACATATTATTATGCATTAGCATGAAATTACCGAAAATATCAATAAGTTTTAAGTAAAGCAAAGTAAGATTGCAAAAATTATGCTAACATATTTATTTCATTTGTGGTTTTATTTTTAACTTCAATTTGAGCGGATTACAAAGACAAGGCAACAAAAAAATAAACGAGAATTCAAAAAAAACAAAAAAAAAAGAAAAGAGACAGTAATTGATATAAATTTTTTTTGAATTAGTTTTCATGTGAAAAATTATTCTTTTATTTGCAATTTCGTAAACTCCTTTTTTTAGCATATTCAATTCAATTTTTTTTTTTCGCCGGATATTTGGTAAGTGTTCATCGGGATAACAACTAAAACAACATCAGCCTGTCTCCCTATGGAGACGGGATTTGATATAATTACTGCAGGTAGAGATGATATTGAAGATTTTTACATGAACGCCACTGAGAATAATCGAGGATGGTTGGGGATGACGTTGATTTATCCAAAGGAAAAGCTAAAGCTAATGATTCAATAGTGCTCAGTAACCAAGTAGTTAATAAGCCTTCCGAGTGCCAAAGCCATTCCAAATCATGAAATTAATTTGTATGTCTGTATTTTGCAATGCAATTTCTTCGTTTTTGTTGAAACTTTTGAAAATGCCGCGGGCATGTGAATAACAATAATTCGAATGTTGTCTTTTACGATTATCGCAAATGTTTCAATTTAAAAGATCTAAAGATGATTAGCAAGGGTAACAACTTCGTTAAAAACAACGATTTAGAAAAAAATTTAATTTCGCAATTATTCGCAATGCCCCTATTGAATATGATGTAAATGAGATAATTGAAAAAGCGGAGTCCGACATTCCCTTTGAGTCGGTTGTTTGGCTTCGAAGAAGAAATCCTAACAACAAGAACGATTATATTCACACAATGAGTATTTAAAATTGGTTTATTTCGTACCCATCTTAATGCAATGCTTTAAGTGGCAGATATAGGCATGTGTCGAAGTTCTGTAAAGCCAAGGAGAGCTGGTGCCTGAATTGTGATCAGTCTCCTAAATGTAGCGAAGACTGCGAAACGATGAGGTGTCTGTCCTGTGGTTCAGGTGACCACAACACTCTAAACAGGTCTTTCCCGAACAGTGAGCGGTAATTAAATATCAACAAGATTACGGCCACTAAAAATCTTTCCTATAAAAAAGTAAACGAAAAGTTTTCCTCAAATTACTTTGAATGTTTCGGTGATCAAAACTTCCCTCCATTGGGGAACTCGTCCGCCGTTTTGGCGAAGGATGATAACGAAAATGTTAATAAGATTCTAAAAAGAAAAATGTAATGTAATGAAAAGGAAATCTGTTACTTCCAAACCTTTTCCCAGTTCACCTCCTAAGCCATCTGTAACAAGATCTCAGCCGCTAGCGTTTTCAAACAACAATTTGCGTTCCTCGGAATTTAATAGGTTAATCTCTGCGATTAAAGAATGTATCCGTCCAATGGTCCCTCAAAATCTTGTTAAACAATTGGAAGAAAAATGTCTTATTGTGCTGATTCTCGCTGCAATCAAGCGCCTAGTACTACAAGTAAATCCGCTGGTGTTCCGGTTTTATTTAAAATATGATCTCGTTTTCACAATATAATATTTAAAGTGTTCGGCGTAACTTATCATTTTTGGATTTTTACTTGAACCCCAATTCCTGTATCTTAAGCGTAGTTTTTTTGAATTTTTTTAAAGTTAAGGTTTTCAATTGTATTTCAGCCACCAAATGTCGAGATGACGGCTATGGCGGTGTTAGTATACTAGTTAAGAAAGGCGTCAATTGCAGACGTAATCCCTACAATTCTGCTGTTGACATCATTATCACCAAAACGATGAATCTTAAGCCAACTCTTTTTATAGCATCATGCCACCCAGCGTTAATGTACAAACTTTTCGTGATGAGATTCACAGGTTATGTGACTTTCTTGATGGTGTACAAAATGTGATTCTAGCTTGAGATTTCAATGCTAGACATTGGTTGTGTGGAGATCAGCTCGCGACTAACAAAGGCAAGATCCTTGTAAATACCATCAATGGTAGCAGTTTTAAATAATGGTAGTACTACCTTTTACTGTAATCGGAGAGGTCGCATGGCGAGCAGTGTCTTGGATTCAACTTTTTCTAATTCAACTATTTTAACATTCAACTTAAATACGACTAACGTCTCTGTTGGCAGAGGTCAACACCCTCCCCTTTTATTTCACAGTTACAGCAATTTCTTTAAAAGAATAGAGTATTTCATTTCAAACAACTTCCTTATGGATCATCTGTCTAAAGTTAGTCTTCCCTCCGATTTATCATTATATAAAAGAGTTTCTCACTCGGAAAGTCTCGGAAGTCTGCTACAACCAAATTTTCTGATATTGAGTCCTCCTCCTACCTAAATCTTGGTTGTCTTCCCTGTCAACAGTCTTTCGCAAATACCAAGCTGCAAGAAAAAAAAGAGTAAATATGCTAATCCAGCCAACTTCATTGAATATATGAAAACACTGAAGGAAAAGGACATCTGGAGTTGGAAGGGCGAAAAGAACACATAGAGTTATCACGATTAAAGGGAATTACATAAATGGTCATGGACATTTAGTCGAAAATTAAACGGTTGTGCTGTGTGGAATGACCATGGTAATAAAAGATACCTAGATATGCTCAAGAGCTACATTCCCAATGCCAATCAGATTGCAATACCTTGAAGTCTTTTTAGTAGTCTCAACAATACACCATTTTTATCGCGTTAGCTAACGTATGTCTTACATTCCAGAAAGAGGGTTACTGCTGCAGGTTGTGACGGAGTTAAATATGATATGGGCCGGGGACCGTCTGGAGGAAGTTTAATTATCCCCTTGCATGCAATTAATAATAGCTGGTCAGTTAACTTTATACCCTTAGATTGGCGATGTATCAAAGTAGTTCCCCTTCTTAAGACAGGTAAAGACTTAAACGATTTAAGTAACTTCAGACAAACTTCGCTAATATCTGTATTCATAAAGATTATCATCCTCATGGTTAAGAAGAGATTAATGGATTTCTTGAAAAAATTATTCCAGCTTGTTCTTGCGCCTAAGAAAGGCGCAAACCGACGAATATGTGCGTTAATGAACCATCTTTTCTCGTAGCTAGTTTAAAAAAAGCTGATTAAACTTGGTAGAATTCTCTTCTTCTTTTCAATTCCTCTTTAAATACATCTGCGGATATTAAATTTTTTACCTAAGCGTGTACCATACGCTTCAATCTATATACTGCTACTTTACTTGATCTTCGAGATGACAAAACTCATATTTTCAATAAGCAGATGATTTCCTAATTGTATCACCGGCTGTGAATAATCTTTCGATAAAAGCTAATTTTGTTTTGCTTTGTTGATCAGATTAAGTTTCTTGGATTTCTTGGTAGAATTTTATATTACAGCTTAACTCTTTGTAGACATTATGAGAAAGCCTTCAGACACTGTTAATCTTGATGTATATCATCAAGCTCATGACTAGCAATCACTCAGGTTTGCCTTCCAAAAAAGCTTTGACTGTGTAGAAAGCTTTAGTCAAGTCTAAGATTAAATGCACAATCTACATCTTGTAAGGTTAAAACTATGTACTGGACTTATCCCCATATTCTCTACCTCAAAGCAAAATGTCAATCTTTCTAGTATGAGGATCTTATGTGAAGAAAAGCTTCTTCTTTGTTACAACAACGGCTATAATATATATGACGCTAATGGTTCCGTTGGACATAATGTATCTAGCTTCTCGGTAGTGAAACGTCTTGTAGTATTATCGATCAGTCGCACTCTACCGTAGTTTACAAGTTATT